AGTTCTTGAAGAAACACCAAGGAACTTTACCTACAGGGACATAATGACTACCTGAAAATAAGCAGGTGTCCTGGAGAAAGACTTCTTTCTTTATTATTCCTTGTTAGGAAAGGCCAGAGTATGAAGGGCTCCTGCCACCCCAGTCCTGTAATAAAGCAGCCCTTCCCCTGCTCCTGCTCTGTGGGCTCATGCTCTACCTTTCTTGCATGATTCTTCCTTACCGGTGTCTGTCCTTTTCCAGAATCAGCCATCCACGCTAACGATGCAGGACCTGCTGCACATTTTTTTGAGATATTGCCTGCGGCTGTAAATATCTGGAGGAGAATCATTTTATCCACAGGTGAGGAGAAGCAGACCCCTCACATCTCTGTCCCCGAAGGCATGCCAGCCTTGTGTGGTTTCCGATGGCAGTGGATGCCCAAAGCTAATCTTCAGCTAAGCCAGAGATTTCCCTCACCAACACAGGATCTGCTTAGGTTTGCAGACTGATCTTGCTGGTTGTTGGCAGCAGTCGAGCTGTGTGCTGCTCTCTGTGCCTTGGAGAGAAAGGAATCATCCTGTTTGCAGTGCATATTTTCAGATGTTAATTTTCAGGTGCCCACAATGGAGAAATGGTTGAGATTATCCTTGCAGTCCACTAGATGGTAGTAGTCTGTTGCAAACTAACTGTACTGTGTAAGAAAATAAGGTATAATTTCTCTTACTTTTCTGATCTCCCTGTATTGACTCGCTCTCCCGTCAGCACAGGAGAACCCAAAATGTTTCAGTCTCAGACTAGGGGAGAAAAAAACATAGCATATGTATGGCCGGGGCTCTTAAGGTTTTCTTCCCAACTCAACAGCTGACCTGCTGTGTGATCTGGAACAGCCTGTATTTATCTGTTCACACCTCCTTCCTCATTTGTAGAGTAAGAAAGTGTTGATATCAAAGCATCAAAAAGCATGAAAAGTTCTACAGGAACTTAAGGAAAAAATTCTTGACAGAGCACTGGAACAGGCTGCCCAGAGAGGTTGTGGAGTCTCCTTCTCTGGAGATCTTCAAAACCCGCTTGGACGCAGTCCTGTGCCACGTGCTCTAGGTGATCCTGCGTGTGCAGGGGGTTGGACTAGATGATCTTTAGAGGTCCCTTCCAACCTTAAGCATTCTATGATTCTACGATTCTATCATTCTATGATTCTACGATTCTACGATTCTACGATTCAAGCTTCAAACATGAATGATATGATAAAGAGGCAAAGGTTATTATAAGTAGCCTTAAAAATTCCCAGCTGAATGTTCTGAGTCCTTTGCTTCTGCTTGGGAGTTTTTTCAGCTCATAATGTTCCCACACATAGCGTGCCATTGAATTCCTTCCTGAGCATCAAAGTCCATGCTGAGGTCAGCTCCTGGCTGTAAAGCCAAGGCGATGCCTGCACCCAGAGGGACACACAGGCCCTGCCTCAGCTTGCATAGAAGCTGCAATTATGCAAGTAGGCAGCAGAAGCACCCACACACTCAGACACATGCACCAACACATGCCAGCACGTAGAGCAAAGAGGCAGAACTAGGGTGGAGACTGGAGGAACAGAGGGAAACAAGTAGCAAGCAGCAGCTGGAGCAAAAAGCTGTGAAATTGAGACGGGATATGTTAGGGCTTTGTTGATTGTAACATCAAAGGCAGCAACTAAAGGATGGGCAGTCTTTTGCCACATCTGCCACAGGCTTGGCATGTGGCCTCAGTCAAGCCTCATCTTCTCCTTGCTGCCTCTGCTCTTCCACACAGACTAAAATGGGAATAAGAAGAGAGTAAATGCAAAGTTCGGCAGATAAAGATTCAGAACCTTTGATAGGTGATGGTTAGAAGTAGGTGAAGAAAAGTGTAGTGAAAAAGGATTGTGTGCCTGGGTACAGAGCTGAACGGCTCACAGTGAGGGGCCTCTCTTCTTCCCTTCAGCTCACAGCGGAGCTGGCTGGGTGTAAGGGCAGCGGGGCTGTATGTGGCAAAACGCTGCCTGGTGGCAACTGGCTGAGGGTGGTTTAGAGACCTTCGGCTCTTTCTCCTCCCACCCAGCCCCTGGATGATGGGGCTGTCTGCAGGAACTCATATGCTGTAGGAATTGTGTAAAGTCAACACTTACATGGTCAGTGATGTCAGCAGAAGTGCCTTCGCTGAACCCAGACCAAAATTAGCCATGAATCAGCAGTTAGCTGCTCTTTCGCAAGGTCAGTACTGGGCCCTGTGCTCTTCAACTTGTTCCTCAATTACTTGGACAAGGGCACAGAGTGCACCCTCAGCAAGTTTGCAGCTGACACCAAACTGGGAGGAGTGGCTGACACTCCCAAGGGCTGTGCTGCCATTCAGAGAGACCTAGACAGGATGGAGAGTTGGGTGGAGAGGAACCTCAGGAGGTTCAACAAGGACAAGTGCCAGGTCCTGCATCTGGGAAGGAATAACCCCAGGCACCAGTACAGATTAGGGGTTGACCTGCTGGAAAGCAGCTCCGTAGAGAGGGATTTGGGAGTCCTGGTTAACAACAGGTTAACCATGAGTCAGCAATGAGCTCTCATGGCCAAGATGGTCAATGGGATCCTGGCCTACATGAGGAGGAGCATTGCCAGCAGGTCAAGGGAGGGGATCCTGATCCTCCCCCTCTACTCAGCTCTGGTGAGACCGCACCTGGAGTACTGGGTGCAGTTCTGGGCTCCCCAGTACAAGAAGGACTTTGAGCTTCTAGAGAGGGTCCAGCAGAGAGCAGAGAAGATGATTAAGGGACTGGAGCATTTATCATATGAGGAAAGACTAAGCAAGCTGGGCCTGTTTAGTCTGGAGAAAAGAAGGTTGAGAGGAGATTTGATTAACAAGTACCTGAGGGGTGGTTGTAGAGAGGATGGGATCAGGCGCTTCTCCATGGCGGCCAGTGACAGGACGAGGGGTAACAGGTGTAAGTTGAAACACAGGAAGTTCCACCTCCATATGAGGAAGAACTTCTTTCCTGTGAGGGTGACAGAGCCCTGGAACAGGCTGCCCAGAGAGGTTGTGGAGTCTCCTTCTCTGGAGAGCTTCAAAACCCGCTTGGATGCCACCCTGTGCCATGTGTTCTAGGTGTCCCTGCTGGAGCAGTGGGGTTGGACCAGATGATCTCTAGAGGTCCCTTCCAACCTCAACCATTCTGTGATTCTGTGACATTCTGCACAGGGCTGGCACGCAGGGAGAGCATTGGAGCTGCTGAGTCTAAGGAGCTCCAAAGCTTCCTTGCTCTCCCAAGCTGTTCTGCATCCCAGGCAGGCTCTTGCTCTGGGTAGTTTTCTGGTAATGCAGGTATGTATCTCTTGTGGCTCTAGCACATGTTTCATTCTGGGTAGTCAGTTTTTGTCAGGGATTCCGTATGCAGCAGCAGCAGCGTACCGCTCCAGATCAGGAGATCTGGCCCTTTTAGCAAAAGCAGCTTCAGAGTGCGCTGTTTTGATGTGTTTCTTTGGGAACATGGTGCTCGCACGCTTCCAAGTAAAGGTTGCTGGACAGAGGGTGCTATCCCTGCCTTTTGGGAGCTGTAAGACCAGGGCAAGTGCCCAGAGCACATATGGCCTGACTCTAGATAACTGTCAGCTCTCCTTTAAAGGATGTTTCTTCAGAGTGTATCTTCACCCCGGAACAAACTCGCTCAAGAATGATTGGAGGTGACCAGGGAAGGAAGAACAACATTATAGTCCCATTTCAGAGGAGAAGTGGTAGTTGCTTTTCTTGACCAATAGCATGTCTCTTGGAAAAAAACACTCTGGCTCAGCTCTTTCACCGTTAGATCTCTAGTATAAGCAACCTGGCAGCAGGCTCACTTTGCTTTAGCCAACAGTTCAGTAAGTCAGGATGGAAAGAATTCTGTCCAGGCCCTGCAGTAGTTAGTGGAACCTGTGTGTGTGTGAAGCCAGGGAGGTTGGTTGTCAGTGGAGGTGACAAGTATCTGAGAAGGCAAGGCAGCTCAGTAGGTTTGCTGAAGGACCACTGAGGGTAAGTCTTGTCACCCAGGAGTCACAGATGATGAAGGAAGAGAAAGCTGGACTTGACTTGCAAATCCCAAGGAAATTTTCAAGACTGGCAGTGGAAAGAAACATACAAGTTGTTTGAGAAGCTCATTTTTCTTGGCAGTCACCAGGGCTCCTACAGTGCTATGATTTTTTAATGAGTTCCTTTTCAGAACAAATTTAAAATAAATGCAAACCCTTCAGTCTTGGTCACGCAGTCACATTTGTGCCATTTGTCACAAGCTAAACCTGCATCCAGCAAATGGTTGCTCCCATATGCAGCTTTGTTTGGTTCCATGGAAGACAGCCAGAAGCAACAGAGCAACCATTTGCCGAACTTGGCCCTATATTGACTTGTCAAGAAGTTTACTAGGACAGCCCAATAGCATCACATTTGTCACTGCAGAGACGCTGCTGAGATACCACTAAAATACTCCTTAAAAAGTAGAGTAAAAAAAGAAATCTGTGTCGTACTGTGATTGAAACAAGAGAGGTTGGATCTTTCTGAGGTCTGACACTGACTCTCTTTTCTGCCTTTCTGAAAGGAGATGGTAGTGGGAAATACTTAGAGATCACTGGGTAAAAAGCGCAATAGAAATGCACTTGATTAATTGTGGCTGGTAAAAATGGCTAGCATTAGTTTTTGTTTTTAATAACTATCTACTCATTTGTGTAAAATAAGACCTGTAGGACTGGGTCTAATATTCTTTATTTTTTATTTACTTAAGAGTTCAGAATTAGAAATAACCTGTTTCTTTGGGGTTTTTTTTAAGGGATATAGCTGCCAGGAATTGCCTTTTGACCTGTGTTGGGGCAGGACGAATAGCAAAAATTGGTGACTTTGGGATGGCCAGGGATATTTACAGGTAAGTCGAAGGATATTTCTGCCTTGTGAATAACTCAGTAAATCATGTGTCATTCTGAACAACATGAACTGTCCACCAGAACTTGAGAAAGAATCAGTGAAACTGTCCATTACGTGTTTGAATTTGATTACCAGTTAATTAACGGGAGTTAATAGACTGTGAGTTAACACATTTGTGCCTATTAGCCAATACATTTCACATTGGGCGCTCGAGAATATTGCAAACATGTGCAAACGTTGAACCAAGCACAGATAAGTTTACTAACTAGATGACTGCAAATAATCAGAAATTTAAAAAATCCCTAATTCTAAATCCAGGACTTGCTGCATCAGTGCCTCGTGCCATCAAGGGCATCATCCAAGTCTTGTCTGAATGTCCTTAGTCTCCCTCCCAGTTGCGAACAGTGTAAGATGCTGCTCAGATGCACTTGTTGTGCTGAAGCCTGTTCCCCATTCGGCCCCATGGCTGCGTCCACTCTGTTTGATGCAGCTGTGTGAACTTGTAGACATCTGAACCTGTACAGGGTATGCCATGTGTTCAGGGTATCCTCTATGTGTTTTATCTTTCCCAGAGCAAGTTACTATCGCAAAGGAGGAAGAGCCATGCTTCCTGTCAAGTGGATGCCACCAGAAGCTTTTCTAGAGGGGATTTTCACCTCCAAGACTGACACCTGGTAACAAATGTCATCACCTCTGCTATTCAGGGATAAGGGTCAAGAAACCTGCTGCTCACAAAAGAATGTCAGCCTTTAAAGATGTCAGATCTTCCCCATGTCCTTTAAAAACATAGGAAGAGACAGAAAGAAAAAAGAAAGAAATTGTTCCTCTGCCTTCAGTTAGAAGCTAAGGAATTGAGTGAGAATTAAAACATATAGTATAAATAGAGGGCATAAAAATAACCATACACAAATGCAGAGTATCTTCTAACGGTAATTAGAAGTGTAAAGGGAGGGCAGTTTAGTTTCCCAACAAGGCTCAGTGTAAAATCCAGGCAAACACATAAAATCAACATCAGAGACTTCCCTCAGCCCCCTGTACCTGCCACTCTCTTGGTGACAAGCCCTGCTCAAACACCCTGTAAATGGCTCTCCCTACTGCCCAGGAGACTCCTGTATCATTCTTCTGTTTTATACAAAACGAGAGCAGATTTAAGCAGAAGTCCTTGCCGGTTGCTGAGGAAACAGTATTTATATATGCACTCCTCATGTAACCTGTTCTTTCTTTAAACTAAGTACCCCTCTTTTTTGTAGCTTCTTCTTCGGAGTATGGTGCCGAGCCCGTCCCCTGCGTGCCCCACTGACACACTGCCCTGCAGTTGTTAGTGATGCCAGCAGACAAGGGGTGGCGGAGCAGAGCTCAGCTGGGTGTAGCAATGCTAAAGATTTTGAAGAAGGTGCTACTGTTCCTGCAATGGAGTGTGTGAGTAACGTGTGCACTGGAAATTTCTTCAACCTTTCCATCAGATGGTGACTCTCATAATTCTGACCCTAGCAGAACTCCCCTTAACTGCCCTGGCAAAAAGTCATTGGTTATTTTCAGTGGTACTGCTTTACAGTCCTCTGGATGACATACAAAAATGGAGAGCAACCATAGCATCACAAAACAATGTACTGCCATTCTGTTTCACTGGAGGTCTCTGTCTTGTTTTTATTCTTCAGCCTCTTGTTTTCAAACATTCAAATATTTTGAATCTTTCAAAATAAGATAGAAATCTCCAATGGTTCTTCTTTTTGATCTGACCATATGTAGCAAGGCTGTACATTTCAAGGTGCTGTTACTGCAGCAGAGGACAACTTCAGAGTTATTGAAATATTTTGAAACCTCTGCAAAGCTACTTTTGAAGTTTGAGCAAGATCTTGGTTGATTTTTATCAGTTGACTCATGATCATGCTAATTGCCCATTTCTGGGATTGGCCTAGAGCTCCACTAGCCAGCTAGTAGGGCTAGTAGGACTGTGGTGTTACCTAAACAGGTTTGCAGAGCAGAAATGACACCAAATTGGCATTGTTGGCTGCTTTCTGACACAGGTCCTTTGGAGTGCTGCTCTGGGAGATTTTTTCTCTAGGTTACATGCCCTACCCTTGCAAAACCAACCAGGAAGTGCTGGAATTTGTCACCAGTGGAGGAAGAATGGATCCACCAAAGAACTGTCCAGGGCCTGTGTAAGTACTTCATCACCCCCACCAGTCAAGGGAGAGTGAATATTAAAAAGCTTAGGCAAAAGTGACAGATGTATCTATTCAGCCAGCAGAAATTACCCAATTAGCTTACAGTATGCTGAAAGCTGATACAAGCTTAAGATGTAAATATGACAAATTTGTACCCTTTTTGGTTGTTTCTTCCCAGGGAAGCAAGAGTGGGAAACTTAACTAGCTTACCCCAACAAAGAGAGCAGAGAAATGTCCTACTGACTTCCTGCTTCCTTTGTGTGCAAACTGGGGGCTTCAGGTTCTAGAACTGGGACCCTGGCAACTCTCAGCATCAATAAGTATACATACAGGTAGCAACAGACAACGCAGTTAGGGGCGTTACAAGCCCTTTTGCGCCAGGAGTCACCAGTGTTTCCCCACTGATAGAAGTTGCCAGAATTTGAGCTTGTGCACGTGCATCCTGGCTCCAGCTGAGAGACTGTCTCATCAGTGCGGTGCAGTCAGGGAATGGTGACAGTCCCAACTGTTTCCCAGGTGCCATGGAACTTCTGTTGAGCCACTGCCATTTGTACACAGATTTTTAAGCACCATAAGATTTGCTTTAAATCATGGTTCCCCTTGTGACTCAGGATCTGGAGATGCAGAAATGATATGTTCACTTTTACTCTCTGGGGCCTGGCACTGCATGCAGATCTTTTAAACCCATTATCTTCTCATATTGAAAAAAATTTAACAGTTTTTCATAACTATCTTTCTTAACTGCTACTTTTTTCTTTGCCCCAAGATACCGGATCATGACACAGTGCTGGCAACACAGCCCAGAGTATCGGCCGAACTTCTCCACCATCCTAGAAAGAATCAAATATTGCACACAGGTAATTGGTTCTAACAGAATGTATTTTCCAGGGGGCGTGTGGCAGGAATATTGCCCAAACCTGATGTTAGCCACTGCCTAAAGCCTCTCCCTCTCCCAGACGTTTCTCCGGCAATACTGGTGTGACAGGCCCGTGGGAGGTACTCGGGGTAGCAGGCTCTTGCACACTCCTCTCTTTCAGGACCCTGATGTGATCAACACGGAGCTGCCTATGGAGTGCGGCCCAGCCCCAGAGGACGAAGGGAGCACGGTCGTGCGCCCAAGCATTTCTAGTGGGATGGTGCCCCTGCTCGTGAGTCCTTCTCTTACATCGCAGGCGCCCCCACAAACACTTGACTCCCCGTGTGCTGGGCGTAAGCCTGGGTTGTGTCCACAAGAGCTGCTGGTGGAGAACCTGAGCGCCTGGACGGCTCGAGGGCCCAGCCTGCCCTGCCTCAGCGATTTCAACAGTGGGTCTTGGCTTCAGCAGAGCTCGAACCAGAAGCTGGAGCTCAGCAATCCATCAACCCACAGACTGAAGAACAAAACCAAAAACCTTTGGAACCCAACCTATGGCTCATGGGTGCTAGACAACATCTGTCGTCCCAGCCCCAGCTCCAAACTCCAAGCAACTCCAGAGCGAGAAGATTCAGGCTTTGATGGGAACTGCAGTTCTTCTCCTAGTTCCCGGGCATCGCCAGCATCTCCGAGTCGAAGCAACTGCCCTCACCTGGATATCGGTGGGATTGAACTGGTGAAACTTCAGACGTTCCCCTGTGGCAATGTAAATTACGCATATGATGATCTGTGCACTGGCCACCAGCCATCAGCTTTGCAAGGGGCCAGAGCAGCTGTACTAAGGAGCTCCAGTCTGCGTAGAGATGAGAAGTCTTTTCCTAAACCACAGAAAACGTCAAGAGAGAGGGACTCTGGGCTGTCTTTGTCAGATGACTTGAGTGTTACACCAGTATAAAATAAAAGATTCTTCCAGGAACTGTGTGTCTGGAACGGCTTTCTGTTCAACCTACTTACTCAAGTTCCTTCAGATGGGTGATGTTCCAACATTAGCAACGTTCTGCTCCTCCATCTACCTGCTGGATCCGCAGATCTTCAAAGACAGCTGCATTTCTGTCTCTGTTCATCGAGCATGTTCCACTGAACGAGTGCATCTGCCTAGCTGTAGAGAACAACGGCACTGCTGCACTGGTTCAGAAGATGAGCCCTGATGACAGGAGTCCTCCTTACTCTGCTCAGGTGAAAAAAAGCAATGGACTTACCATCCAACCAACATTTGGATGGAAATAATCAACACAGGCTATTCTTCTTTCTGACCTAAGAAACCAAAAATGAATGCTGTGCCAGCAGCGCCCAGCTTGCAAAGGCTTCTGTACTCCCTGGAGCACTGCACAGGCCTGCTCACTTACTGATGCTGCGCATGCACTGACAGGGAAGTAAATAAGCAGCAAGCAGCCACATTTGCCCCCGTTTTCTTAGCAGACTCTGTGAAGATGATGAAAATGAAGCTGCTGTTCAAATTAGAAGCAGTAGGGAAGATGAAAATAAGCCAGGCTCCTTTGCGTGTGTGCTTTGAAAGTAAGAAGTGAAGAAGAAAACAAATTCAATATTTTTTTTTTAAAAAAAGAAAGGTCTAAGTGACACGAGAAGAAAATGGGTTGCTTCCCTCAGAGTGTTGCTTTCCTCCTGGGTCCTGGCGTGAAAGGGACAGGAAATTTTCCAAGGAATGGCAAGCTGCATGGTGTAGGGAGAACCAGACTTTCCTTTTCTTTTAATGGATATTAGTTGGCTGAACTTCATTTTTGTAAGTATTTTGGTATTCTGCAGTAACTTCTTGTGCTACGTTGGTAAGCATTAAGCTGCAAATCTTAGGGTAACTGTGTAGCAGGTGGTGCTCTGGAGTTCTTGTTACTTTTACTCATTCTTCTGAGATTCATTGCACAGAGATAAGGCCAAGGAGGTACAGAGTAAAGGGGAATCTGTTTAATACAACCCCTAGCTTACTGTGTTCCTTAAACATTAGGCAGAATAGCTCAGCCTTTTGGGAAAGCTAAACCATTAACTGGCTTGACACACGTGAGCAGGGTGTTGATTTCTTTTCAACTTCCAAGCGTACAGTCCTGCTGCTTAAGGTAGGTGGTGATCAAAGAAATATTGTTTCTAAGTCTACTTGTGCTCTTTAGGCTCTAAACTGGTGTTTACTGGTTAAATCCTGCAAAACAAGGAGACTCTTGAAAAGGTAAATCATGGGGTTTAGACCTGAATTAGCTGAGAAGCATTTTATCCTTACCCTAACACCTGGGTGTTGCACTGCCAGCCCCCCACAGCGGGTGAGAATTGATAGTTGAAGAGAATGGGAAATGACAGAAAATGCAGAGCCAGAGATGCCACCACTTGCATGCAAGGAGCAAAACATTTTCCAGGTTATATGCTGCCTCACGTGTCATCAGGCTGTCTGCAGTGGTGTTTGTCTTCTTAAGCTCTGTCTGGACCCTCTCTGTGGAGAGACGAGCTGTGGCACAAGCTTCCTGCATAGTGAGTAGCTGCACGCACTGTCTGAAGACGTGGGTTGGCAGCAGAAGGGCTCCTCTGAACACGTCCTCTGCATCATTCAGGCATGGATACTGCTGGTGTGTGGCTAGAGAGGAGTGTGAGGAGTCCAAGTCCATCTTTTTGCCAACCAAGTGTGTCCAGCTCAGGTTTTTGGTTTGTCTGACTTTGTATTTGTTCCTAGCTTCCTATATTCTCAGGCCTTTGGCTTTAGAATGAGTAGTTTCATAAACTCTTTACTGGACCTTTGCTGATGATGGCTTCTTCTAGCAATGACCTTTATGGTAGGGTTAAAAACCATCACAAATCCAGACTGAGCAGGGACAGCTGGTCAGAGCAGAGGTGTCCCCCTGTGCAGAGGCAAATTCCAGGAGTGATTTGAGGCCAAAAGGACTTAGTAACCAAGAAAAAAAAAAAAAAAAATTCCTTCTCTCTCATCCTTCTTCCCCTTCCACCTTGCTGTTAGCTCTGTGGCTTGCCCATTGCCTATGGACCTGGTGCAGCCTGCCAAGTGTCTGCATTGAGTTCCAGCAGTGCCATTTTCCAGCTGAATCGTAGGAGCCTGAGTGCTCAGTCATTCCTGCCTCTTGCAGAGGCTGCCACACAGCTTTAGACCATGTCTCTGGCTGACCAGCTCTGCTTACTGCCAGGCAAGAACGAATACATTTATTCTTAGCTAACTGGAACAACATCAGCTCATCGCCAACATCTTTACCTTCCAGGTTACATCGGTCCCATATCAATGTCTGGAAGCCATGGGCAGTTGCAAGGAGCATCCCCTTTCTTTTCACCTGGATGGTTTGTGAGGTGGTAGGCATGAGACAGCTCATTTTCACATAACACTCACTCCAAGATCTCAGTGAGCTGCAGGCAGGATCCTTGCTGTCCACACACTACCCAGCTTGAGTCAACTATGTTTTCCCCGTACATATCACTTGGCCTAATTCACAAATTTAGAATGGCAAATAGCAATAAAGCTAGGTAGCACACTGGGAAGGGAGAAGAGCAAAGTGGGAGCCACAGTTGCCATTACTCATCGATGCCATACGCAGGCTTGTCTGCAGATCATCTCATTTTAGGAATAAAATACGAGTTCTTCAGTCCTGCGCTTTAGACAACATACATGTTTTTAACTCAGCAGTTGAGTCAAAGTACTTACAGGAAGAGGATAGGAAAAGCTGCACTGAGCCAGGCTGTAACTCCATACAGCCCAGTATTTTATCTCTGCCAGCGACCAATAGGCATATGTCTGAAGGGCAAAGATAAGAGCAGGGTGAGCATGTAGTGATTATTTCCTGTAAATATTCTCCTGCTCTACAACAGCGTCTAGCTCAGGAACCTACTGAGCCACCAGTGGTGTCTTGTAACAAGACAGAACATGGATGTGCACATACTCAATGGGCACTAAAAGAAACAGCTGGAAATTTTATAAGAATTAGTAACCTATATTTTATTTATGCTCTTAACTCCCTCACATTGAAATAAACTATCTTCTGTCTGCACAGTTATTATGCATCCTTGACCTGAAAAATATTTGTTTGTGTATCTGATCTCTTAGCTCCGTCTTAAAAGCTCTCAAAATAATGAATTTTTAATGGATATCTTGGAGGAACGAATGCTAATATTGCTCCTGTTGTAATGCTGAAATGCTACATGTTTTCTAAAACACACTTGCCTAAAGAGAAAGAAAAAAAAAAAAAGGCAACAAAAATGCTATAATGTCATATAGCACAACATTCAAATCCTACAATTCTGAGAAGTTTGAAAATCACTGTTCCCACAATCACAGATTCCACACAGTGCCCAAGTTCTCTCATTTCAAAAAACACTCTGCTTGAAATTCTGTCCCCTTGATTTTTCAGGAGACACTTCTAATGAGTAAGATGAGAGTGACCCCCCTCCTTGTCAGGTTTATAATAAATTACACTGGCAATTGAAAGACGTTTTTTTTTTCCCCCACAGAGGAATGACATAAAGTGGAGGTCTGTGATTAATTCAATCCTATAATCCATGTGTAAAGTCTTCCCCCATGCACAATCAGCAAGTCATAGGAATATTACAGCTTATTCTTCTGGGTCGGTCTTCTGTGTTTTTAACATAGTGCAACTACCAGCCTATTTTTAAATGCTGTGTGTGTAGTGTTTTTTTTTTTTTTTTCCCCTAGGATTACCATTCAGATTTGATGTTGCTTATACAGCCTCGTACCTGCATTTTAAAGAGGGGACTTTTTAATACAAGATCAAACAATAATGTAAATTTCTATTTTTTTTTCCTCTGCTTTCTTTCCACTACTGTTGATATTCTGGTTCTGATTCTATTTACTTTAAAATACATCTTCATTTTCCCTTTAAACTCATTTTTAACTGTGCACAGATTTAAAGTGTCCCCTTCTCATCAACTCTTTTTCCAGTTAAGTTCTCCAGGAGGCAGATCTGCACTAAGAAAGCTTTGCAGGTAAAATTCGCTATGAGCTTTTGCAAGTTTAACTTATTCCACCTCCAATACCCCCCGCTCCCTCCTTTCCCTAAAGAAAAGAAAATGCTCATGGTAGGCGTATGGTTTTCCCCAAAGTAATCACATCAGCACAGCTCTGTCAGAGGGGACTACACCTCCTCATGGCCCTGAGCAGCAGTGCCCCGCCGGGCAAAGCCGCTGCTTTCTCCTTTCCAGGCTCATGCGGAGACATTAGGGGAGACGCCACTTTCGGCAAGTCTGGTCCCACAACTTCACTTACTGCTTTTGATTTGTCATTACCTCTGAACATGGCAACGCTTCCTGCCAACTTGCCCTTTTGATTGAATACTGTACATAAGAAGATGACAAGCCTGCTTCTATGCAATTTAAAGTTGGACAAATGTATACTTCTATATTTGCAACACAAAATAAAGAGACACTAATGGTGGTTATTGTGTCTCTCTCTCTGTTGAATACTCTTTGCACTCCGGTGCAAGAACACTCTCACTAGCTGAGAAACGCTGCCAGTCCTAGAGGCTGGAGACCAATAACGCAGTACAGCCTGTTCCCTGGCCGTACATGGGCCGCCCGTGGAAGTTGGACACCCCAAGGACAGCAAGTGCCTTGTCATGGTGTGTGGTACTACATCACTATGAACTGTGATTTTTTTAAGATCAAACTTACCTCTATGGAAGCTGTCAAACGCTGCTGTGTGGATCATGTTCTAACACAAACACACCTAATGGGTTGTGGCTTCAACATCTTTGAGTCAGTTTTGTTTTAGGAAATATTACATGCTAAAGGCAAAGTGCAAGAAATCGTGAAAGCAGTATTTTTTTTCTCTCTCTCTGTAAAGTTTCTGAGGAAAAGAAACAACTCTCCCATGACCAAATCATAGTTTATATCTTTTTGGTTTTCCTCCAGTCTCATTTATTTAGTAGCATACACATTCTGGAGTAACAAACACTCAACCAATACAGTCAATGTCCAAAGTGACCACGGTCAGCATTGCATTGTAGTGTTCAGAACGGATGCACTGTGGATGAAACAGGCCATTCGACCTTAGTACCTTAAGAATAACAAATAATAATACAGCAACACAAAAGAAGATAAGCAAGAGCCCACTGAGATACTTAGGGGTTTGATCCAACTCCCTTGGAAATCTTTCCATGTTTTAGGAACTGGATCAGCTGATGTTAAGTGAATTCCTTCTGTGTAAAATGAAGGGTGATCTGATTTGTACCACTTCAGTTATATTTCATCCAAATTTACAACCTGGCGGAGCCACAACACCCATCATTTTTAACTTAGACAACATATTTGTTTGTGTATGTCTTTCTATATTGCACCATGCTCCGAAGAATCTCACAGCATCTTGCAAGCACTAATGAAGCACAGCCTCGCACCATCCCTGTGAGGTAAGCAGATACTTTCCCATCTGTAAAACAGGAACAAAATCGAGGCCTAGGAGATAGCTGCAAAGGCCAAAAAGCAAGTCTCTGGCAAAGGAGGCATGTGCTACTGCTGGATGCACCCGCGAGTGACGCCGCTGCAGCAGTGAGCGCTGCTGCAGCTAATGAGGGAGGCCCTTGGTGTCTATCGGCACCCCAGGTCAGGGCTGGCTGCACCGCGCTACAGCGCCTCAGAGCTGGCACGTCCCGCAGGCCATGGGAACACGGGTGCTTCTGGTGTCTCCACAGTGAGGCAATGAGCTCAGCTGAGGCATGAGAGCGCTGTGTCCTGGACTCGTATATGAGCCAGTGCCTTGGTCCTCGTGCATCAGCTCTTCTATGGTAAAAGCAAGCGCAAAGGCATTGTGGTGACACCTCAGTGTGTTTGTGGTGATGTGCCCCAGAGTGAAGGCAAGGGAGTGCACACAGGCAGGCAACTCTGAGACATTTGATGAGTCAAAGTATCTAACTTACCCTGTGGAAATTTGCTCATGAGCTCAGAGCCTCCAGTCCCTTAATCTCCAGTCCTCATTTGGAGTTCTACACTTGCAGTTTGCTAATTAAAAGCTCCCTCCACTGGTCTCCTGTTAACAGCAGCAGCACCTTAGATTGTGGCATCCTCCCTTCTAACTCCATGAAAAGCCAAAGGCCATTTCAAAACCACCATAGTTGGGCTATTTCTCATCTAAGCTAAGTTTCTAGTTCAGGGTCTGCTGTAATTACAAGTCTTTTTTTTTTTTCCCCTCCCCTTCCCTACCTTTTGCAACTACTGCAAAGGAATGGCTCATTTCCCATGTTCTCCCACAAGATGGTCTGTACTGCAAACCATCCTTCCAGGTACTAGCAGCAGTGGGCGTTTTGAAGCTATTGATACCGCACTGCATCTAGTTTTCCATTAGAACTGGCCATTCTAAACATTTATGACAAACTGTCCTTTGACAGTTTGAAAGAAAGAATCTTTTTTTTTTTAACCTTCAAAATCCTACTCCCTCTCTAGAAAATAAGGTTCACATGTGTGATAACAGAAAAAAAAAAAGAAAATTAACTCTGGAGGTTAATTAAAAATAAACACAAAAAACACTAATGAACTGTATCACTGCAAGAGTCTAATTTCTAACTTTTCTAGTTAAATTTTTAGTTGCAGTAGGACTGCTTGAATTACAGTTCTACAGAAGAGATGTTCTTATTAAAGAAGTCCTCTCCTGTGACACCTATTTTCTTCCTATTCTCTTCAAACACTGCTAACAAAAGGCTTACCTGGTGGCTGCAGGAAAGAAGGAACTTTTTAATTCTAAGAAATTCACCACAAATTAATTTGTCAGCTCATACAAATTCAAAAGTTGGGAGACACCTGGAATAATATATGTGCTTATTCTTGAAGGATTATCTTCACTTTAAAAAAAAGTTTCTTGAAATCCTATCTTTTTCAAACCGTTCCACAGCTCTACTTTCTCCAAGTGTAAACTCTGTGAAAGACTTAAGTGGAAAGAAAGTAATTAACATATCATGATAATAATACTGAGAGGCACTCTGTGAGGCCATAGAACAATTATTAATTTGCAGTGAGCTGCAAAAAAAACTACCAGTTTCAAACCACTTCTGTTTTAAGCTGAAATGTCTCCACTTCGCAGTGCTTCCTACAGAATCTATCTTGTTGAACTCTGAGTGAGCGGATTGACAGTATTTATATTCTGGTAGCATTTATACTGCTAGCACTTCAAGCACTGTTCAAGTGGCCAGAGGCAGAGATGCCATCATAAGAAAATGCATCACTTCGGTCTGTCTAGATTTTATCCCATCAAACTGAATGTCCCGTGGCTACATGGAGGCCACAACAAACAAACAAAAATCACCCACAGGTGTTCCTGGGACTCCACACAGGGATTAAGGGCTATGATATGTGACATTCATTCCCCTCAGCCCCCCTGAGATAAGAGCTGGTATCTCACAGGAAGGATGCCTAGGAATGGATCTCGCCATTAGTGTACTGTTGTAAATGGAAGAACATTTCCCTCATGATCTCCATGTTGGTCTATGGCAACAGTGGCAGCCTCATATTTGGAAAAGGATGAACAAGGCCAAGAAGTCACCTCTTTCACATGCATTAGGAGAGAATCAAAACAACAGTCTAAGAAATCACACTCGTAGGAGGGTTACTGGTGTGTGTGCATAGGGCTTTTAGCTTAAAAAATAATCAAATCCTGAAAACAATCCTGTGTCCCACACCGTGCACCAAAAGAGATTCATTATTGAGTTTTCAGAACTTCCGTTCAGCTCTAAGAGGCCATGCTGGCCACTTTTTCAAAAGCCCACCCAATTTGAAAAATCAAATGTTTTTGAAGCCAATAGGGTGCTGTTCTCTCACTAGAGATCTGCAATCTCCTGAGAGGCTACATAAAAAGCAAAAGCTGTTCTGACAGAAAGGAACTGAGGCTAGTGAAGGAACGAGGAGGAATGGTCAACAGCAGCTACTACATGCAACCACTGATACAACCTCCGCTACAAAATGGTTTCTCCCTTTGGTCCAGGTTTCTTGCAAATATCACCAATTCCCACCTTGTGCACACTGTAATACAGTGCAGCAGCTGTTGTTGGCCCAATCCATAGTATGCATGGGAGCAAGGAGACTTGGAATTTGGGAAAAAACACTCTTGCTGGTTTCAAAACTGTGCAGTTCCCTGAAAAAAAAAAAAAAATCAGCTCTCCCCCCCGACCCTGAATCCCCAAGTACTTGCTCTGGTTCACTGAGAGGGGACCTACAGTCACATCTGTTTGCCTGAAATCGGAATTGGTCTGGCTTTCCCATGGCTTTCCCATACAGACCTCTTGACTCATGCTGGTGTGATGCCTGAGCATGCAGATCCCGATTCTCTGCGGACCAGTCCGAGGTTAGGCTGGTGCAATACAGACCAAGCTGGAGTTGTTCAGGTTCAGAGGGCTGATGCAGTCATTTTGATCACTAACAGCTGGGCTCTGGATGCAGCTCCCTCTGCAGTATAATGACCCCCGCAAAACTGGGAGGGAATTGAAGAGGTTTCCATCTAACTGAGCGATCCCAGTAGAGCGGAAAGTTACAAAGCAGCCCTATGAGTTTTGTGCCACACTCATCATCTCATCTTTCAGTGATGCTTTCCAAGATGCCAATCAAATTGTCTAGTCCCAACAGGTACCCATCTTCCCTGTTGCCTTCTTGCCATGGAATTCTGTGATCCAGCGTCTGCCCATCAGGCAGAAGGGTGGTCTTTCCAAAATCAATCAGCCACACATTGGCATTCCCACTGTCGTCATGTACAAAAAGCAGTGAACTTCCAACGACCTGGCAGACAGATGGGGGGCGATGTGGTTAAAAACAAAAACAAAACAAAACAAAAACCACTCAGGTCTCACTATTCCTGGTACCATCACCTTCTCAGACGACCTCCTCACCTGTGACCAGGCAAACTTTCAGGCTGCACTGATGACCATCACATCTCTTATTTGCATAAAATAAAACATTCTGTAATTTATAAATGGGTATGTAGATGGACAAAGGGACCAGCAGACAGAGGGAAGAAAAGCAGTTTTTCAGCTCACTTGGCAGCAGGTCTCAGTTTTCGCAATTTAGCAAAAGACAGAGACTACTTTGAAAGAGAGACCATGACCTATGATAAAATTGCCACTACTGATAAGTAGGAATCGACACTAACAAAATAAGAGGTTTGATCTCAAAATCTTGAGCTGTAGCAAATAGAACTTCTTACAATGCTAAAACACTGCCTTCATGATACAAAAACCTACAAAAAGAATATATATAGGAGAATTATACATTTTTCCATGCAAATCCTCTCTACTAATACAGCGGGCTATTCTGAAGGGCATCTGAATGACCAAATGAAGCAAGAAGGCACTGCCAACAGCCCTGCACTCAGTCACTGCTCACCTCATGTCGCTTGAAGAAGTCTGAGGACTCAAGAATGTCATGAATTTCCTGCAGACGCTTGAGGTATTTTTTCTGAAAGAAGAAAAATAATAAAAAGACAAACCTTTTAAGTGGAGGATGAATTAAAACACTCTGCTTACAAGAATCATTATAATGAAGAGATCATGTTAATTTTAGCCTAGATGTCCTTCAAAAACAAAAGACTGATCATTTTAAAGCCCATCAGAACCTAAACATACTTCAACAGACTGCCTTTGCAAAACAACAGTGCAGAGTTCCTCTGCTGCTGTGTGCCACAGCAAACATCCTCATCTGCCTTTGGCTTCGGATGCAGTGAGCTAGCATCTGGTTGCAGATCCTCTGCACACTTTTTTTGAACGAAGAAAAAGGAAGTTCCGAGCAATGAAAAGTCTTTCAGTTCTCAACAAGTTAAAGAGAATGAAGTTATATTAGAGACAAGGAACTCTAATCATGTTACGAGGAGCAGAAAAAAAAAAAAAGTCTACCTCCTAAAGCTCTAGCAAGCATTTCCAGTGCTCCCCTGTGGTTTTGAAGAATTGACCTTCCCTCACAGTGGTTTCTACATGGTCACACACCACCCGTTTCCTTTGAAGTTCCAAGGACAGAGCCATGTTATGCCACCTGCCACATGCCTGCCTGGCTACCCTTGAATAACCTTGAAGCAGTTTACAGGAATTGCTCCTGGACCAACCCTCACACAGGGGAGCACAGTGAATCCCCAATCTCACTTCCTGGCCCCTGTGCAGCTTTCATCCTCTCATTCTCAGAGAGTCAAGAGAGTCAACATAACCCTCTCTTAGTCGTCATCATTCTCCTGATACAGCACACACTTATGGTGGAGGGTCAATAGCAAGCCACAAGTTAGTCTTGCTTCTTGCCAGCACAAGGAATGCAAGGTGAACTCATGCTACTCCCTGTCTATGGCAAAAGTAGCAGCAGCCAATCTTAACCAACTACTGCTCAGTCCACCAAGGCTCTAATTCCACCTGCTGAGAGGGCCAGAAAGTTCAATCCATTTTCTGCCTTGATACTTTCTAGAATGTTCTTCTTCCGCAGGAATCATGGCCTCAAAAGTAAGCTGAAGAAGCCAAAGATCAGTGTACCGAAATAGTTCAGACTCACCAGAATTGTTGTGTTACCCTCAATGAATTCCACAAAAACCTGGAGAACTTGCTCATGTGTCTTCGTAGTTTTGAAGTTTGTGTTACATGTTCCATCTGCCTTCTGCACAAAAACACACAAAAAGACAGAGAGGGTTTGTACTGCACACATCATTCCTCTCATTCTTACTAACCAGCTGAAGGTGAGCAGCTGAACAGGAAGAGAAGATAAATGAAGCAAGGGGTGACAAAAAAAGAAATATAAGGGCTGACAGAATAGCTTTAAGCAGTACTTAATTTCCTGTTGACTGCATTTTTTTTAATGAAAATATTACCAGCAAGCAGAAGGATTTTCCTCTCATTTAAGTAGTAGCAGTGCAAAGTTGAATGGGGCAAAACACAACAACATCTTTTTGTTGTCTTCAACAAGCTTGGTGCAGGCATTCCCCAAGCTGGGAATGTAAGGGATGTTCTCAAATCCTGTTTTCATTAGTTATTTTTTTTTCTCTTCAAATGGGGAAACCAAAAAATTGCAGATCAGACTCTCAGCTCTCAGTGACTCTCAGCTCCAAGGTGCCTTTGCACCTTAACATGACATAGAAGTCATAGAATGGAAGCTACTTGCGGAGAAGAACTAAGGATGTGCAATGTTATCTGATACAAACACCAGGGGCAACAAGGAATGTGGAATTTTGGCAAAGGACAAGGTGGGCATGCATCCAACTGGTCCTGCACAAATTCAGAATATTTTTGTACTAACAGCTCAAGTCAATGCAGAAGCAACCTGCTACTGAAAGACAGCAGAGCCTTTGTGTCCTGGTAGTGGCCTGTCTGTTCTTTGTCCCTATTTCTTTAAGTGACATAAAAAGACATTTTGAGGACATACGTAAAAAAAAATACAGCAGTTGTTGCAGATAGTAGTTTGTATCTACCAAAAGGCTGCAAGAGCATCACATCATATTTTACTCTATCACACCAGTCCCTTCATATCCATTACAGAAGTAAATCAAATTAGCCACAAAACATGTTCCTTCCTACATGCTTAAGACACTGGACCAAAACCGGATAATTTCAGTCCCGGTCTCTGTAGGTACAACACTATTTACTGAAAAGAACTCAGCCCCTGGCAGGTACATGGAATAAAAAGATAATGCTAAATTTCCATAATTTCCACAAGAGAGTGAATTCACTGAATGGCAAAACTATGCAGAACAGCCTCCCACCTTTTAGCTGCAGACTTTATAGCTGCAGAATAAACAGAATTTTATTCCAAAGCTGTGGACCAGATACAAGTGTGGTTTGTCAGACTGATGAGATGTGTAAGTTATGCAAGAGGAGTTCATCAGGCAGGCAGTGGAAGTTAGAAGCCATCTCAACTGATGCATGGTAATGCTTTACAGTACACAGAAATTTGGAATTTAGTTACTGCCTCATATCTTTTCTCTCGGGAATAGCAAAATACTATTGAGAGGGAAGTTACTGTAAAAATAATTTATCTATCTTGTGCTCTAAATCCTGGAGCAAAGTCTGGAATAACCTGAATCCTCGACAGGAACTTGCCAACCTGCTCCTTGAAGCCGTGGCTTTGTCAGTGCCTCCACGTAAGCCCCTGCACAGAGAGTTCGTTTCACAGCGCAGCCAGCCCCTCGCCTCTGGCACTTCTCACTAGACAGGACAGTGACTCAGGTAGTAGGAAAACAAGTTTGGCTGCCCCATAAAAATAGTGCTACCTCTCTCTTACACACATAGCTCCGCTTCTTCTGCGGACTTCTCCTTAAGGGCCCCGGATTAAGGCCACAACATAAATGGATTTATAACTATCTAACCAAATCTGTTGTTGTTCTGGGAAAATGGCTACCCCGACCTACAGCTAAAGTAACAGTGACAAGACGAAAAGCAACTTCACAAACTGCACAGATTCAATGGCAGAATGAGAAGACAGGGCTTCTGAGTCTCTACCCTGTGTGTGAGTTAGTAACACAGTGTTAGAGAGACGTTTATGAAGCTTAGCACTCCCATCTCTGCTAGGGGGGAAACCTGCCTTCTGAAGCCAACAGGCACAAGAGACTGAATGTCAAGTGCCAGCTGTAAGAAAAAAAGGTGGTTCCATGGTTCTGCCTACTTCTTTTAAAAGCAGGAGTGACATATTCGGTGAATGAACTTGGCCTGATTTCAGGGATATGGAAGTGATTCCAAGAAAAGAAATAGATCAACCAAAAGGAAAAAGGTACAAGGTACCCCACTGATGAAAGAGGAGTGCATATAGTGAATCAGATATCATTTACAGGGAGCCACCTCACTGAAGGACTTCTATCATTTCACCTTCATTGCTTCTTGCTTCAGCAGCCACCGAGTAGGAATATTGCTGAATGACCAAACTAACTCCCTGTACTTACGGAGAACAATCCTCCTGCGTCCCTTCAGCCACTAGCTAGCAACACTGATTCTCACAGGCTCTTCTCTCAAAATGAACCCAGCAGGGTTCTGCTCCCTACAAATATGCAGAACTGAATGTACAGTTTAACTACAGTAAAACAGCATGGGGAGTACTGACTGGCTGTGTTGTTTAAACAACTCTTCTCTCTTCATTTCTCCATATATAAAATGGATTGACACCTACATCCCCATAACAGCACAAAAAGGAAGAGGAAAAAGTAATGTAAGTATTTCAAAGTATGTCCTGTGCTGACTAAAAGGTTATTTATTTGTGCCCTGCCTTGTACTGTTACAGCACTGGCCCAACAGGGAAGCGACACAGCTGGAGTGCCATTCTGCTCCTCCCTGCCTCTACAGCTGTCTGACCAGAAAGAACAAGCCATGAGATGTTACCAGAGCTCCCCTGTGCTTCCCTGTCTCATTCTTCTGGACTCAACATAATTCTGTAATTCTCCTTCCAAGAAGCATATATAGAAGGTCTTGAGAACATCTGGGTTTCTAGTGCCACTATAGAGAACCCAAAAACTTAAGTGATATAGGAACTAAAACAGGTACCTTGATAACATCATTAGATGTCCAAAGAGTAGAAGAGGAAGAGTCTTGGCTAGAGTGAAAAAAGATGATTTATCACCTAAACATTTCCTGTGTGAGGGTGCCTGTATCTAACAGCTGAGACGGGATAGCACAGTGTACAGAGGGGGGCCAGTACAGCATGAGCTAGCAACTGCCAGATCCTGTATCGCAGCAGGAGAATCTATGGTTGAGGAAGGATAAGATGCCATGGGAAAGCAGAGAAAAAGGGAGTGGCTAAGGAGTCTCTCAGCTTCACTCTCTCTCTTCCATTCCTTTCTTTTTTCCTGTGTGCTTTTCCTATGGAACGGAAGCAAAATTAATCCAGCATCCTAACATGCACAAGTTAAACTTCTTCAGGGTACAAGTGCGCTCTGCTGAACACCCTGGAATTCGCACAGTACGTCATGCCAACTTCTTCATAGCTGGCAAGCCATGAGGCTTCCCCTAACAAGTACTGCCCCAGGGAAATGGGTTTGGGAAGCCTCCGTCACCCTCCACATTTCTGCAGAAACACTGCCTGCCAAACCTGAGTGAAGCACTTTAAGGGCAGCTTCCACAACCTATGCAAACAGAGAGCGCACTTCTGAACCACACCAAGTATCCGAGTCACATGGCTGATATTCTGAGGGTGAGTCCAAATAGGTTTCTGATACTGCCACAAAGCATGACGAATATAAAGAATTGATGACTACGATAAAAAAACTGCAAAGGCTCTTTTATGGATGTAAGTTAAGCTCCTAGAAAGGAAAAAGAGGTACCTTCCCTCAAGATTAGCAGATGAACTTGGCTGATGCAGAAATTTTATCTTTGGTTGTTCTGGCTTTATTCCAGCTCTATCTACAGTGAATGTTGACACATACTTAAATGGAAAAGGGGTTTCCTCAATCCCAAGAATATCTAGCTAACGCTTTTATCCTGCTTTGCACATAAACATAGCTGAAATAGAACTGGCTTTACTTGTGATTCACTTGGAATAAATATATGAGTTCCCAGAATAACTCTTGGTTAAAGAGACAAAAAAAAAAATCCATGAGCAGAGGTGATTATTCCATCAATTCTGAATTCCTCCTTTTATCAGTTTCATTTGCACTGCCCCTGCACTGTACTTCTTGCGTCTTTTCTGCAGTGTCTCTGTGCTTAATCCTAGCACGGATGATGCGCATCCAATGACCAGCTTGCTTGACACTACTCTGCTTTAACTAGAGTGGATGCTATAAAGCCACAACACACTAAACTCAGCCATTTCAAGTAGTAATGGTTTACATAATTCTTTGGAAAACTTGGCTAGTGATGCATACTAGCTTGTTGATTAATCAGCAAATCAAGCAACATTGAGGCATCAAAATAGTCAGAATTTGAACTATTTACCTTAATCCCTTCGATCCGGAAGCCCAGGTTGGCACTGGAGCTGATGGTTTCCCTCCATTGCATGTATCGGGGCTTGGTGACAGCATGCTGCGCATTCTCTTCTGCTGTAGGAGCAAGAGGATCCACTTCAATCATTTTCTTGTACATGTCCTTACGCAGCTTTGGTTTCTCACGTGCCTTTGTCAACTCTTCCTCTAGATATGTCCTGTAAAAACATCGTATCAGAACAAAATTGCAAGAACTCCTCACACTTATTTTACAACTTATGATAACTGGTCTCAGAAGAGGTCAGTCACAAAAATAAGCACTATCATTATCCCAGTTTTGTGCACGAGGAAAACTGAAGAACACAGATTAATGGCTGATCAGGATTATTTAGTGATACAGTAACAGGAATTACGATTCTTGTCATTTATATCTTGCTCTAACTATGCCTTTACTTACTGCTACACACTATTGTTATATCCTGCTTACAGAATGGAAGAAAACTTCCATTCTTCCATGTCACAGAAAAGTATTTTCAGAGGATAATTTAAAAAGATTAGGTAGCTGAATATCTAATTTAGCCCAGCAATTCTAAGTACCTGAATTAGTAGCAAAAGGTGAATAGGAGAGTTGCTACTTCTCTGAATTGTTACTCCAAGCTACCATCAGATTGCTATCTAAACAGGAACTGGGGACCATGCTCCAAATAGTACCATAGGGATGTCAGAGTGGGCAAGGACACAGGTCAGTCCTGGGCAGATTGTCAATTTTTGCTCTATAGGAAGGACTACTATCACTGAGGAGTCATTCAAGCTTTGGAAATGGGCTTTCACACTGCTGTTTAGTCAGTCATTCATACTTGGAAAGGGCTATTTTATTCTTTTTTGTTTTTTTTTGAATCACTGTGTAAGCAAAGATTAAAAGAACAGGCAACGAGTGAATCATGTATTTTTTCTTCCATGCAGTACCAAGCTATCGCAGGGACACCTTGCCTCAAACCACCCCTGAAAATAACTTGATGTGGATAGTTTCTGAGGCTACAGATCATCCAGTCTCCAGAAACTATGTACAATCAGGCAACAACGGAACGTGCTCTCCTCAGGTTGTCAGGACAATTTCCAAGCTAGTAAAAGGCTGTGTATGCTGAACCCCAAGGCACCAAAAATGTTATCGAGCTCCTCCAGGCAGCACACAACAACCTCCTCCCTTCCCCGCTGTGCATTCAGGCTACAAAGCACACGCTCTTTCATGCCGCTCACCTGATCCCCATCTTGCAATCCATCACACATGGCCCTTCAAAATCCGTAAGCAAGTCATCTAGCTGAATGTAGCTCTCGCCATCTCTCTCCACTACACCATGGAAGCAGGGAACACAGGAGCGCAGCGGATCTTTCATCAGGCGCTCGAAACAGTCCTTTTCATTCTCTGAGAAGCGCTTGAGAATCTTCCCACTATCAGCTGCTTTGAAACTCCCTAGAAAGAAAATCAAACACATGCTGAGAAGACTGACTTGCAGAAGAGGAAAAGCACCTTTCCCAGCACCCTGGCCTCACCCCCATGATACCACATAAAGATCCACCCACCCCCAAATAGAAAAGGTAACATGCTTCTCATAGAAAACTAAGATGCTCAGGACAAATATAGCCATCGGCAGTGAAAATCTATTTGGATACATTTCCATATCAAAATTCATACTTTTAAGGAGTGCAGCTGCCTTGGGCCATGTGGTTTTTTTCTCCTTTTATGTTAAACTCTTTGTTAGGATATTAAACACTGAAATACTTATTAACGTGCACAGGAAGAAGCCACAGGCCAATCTCTGTTAATACTCTGATAGTGTATTTTAAAGCAGCATAACAGTGACAGTGCTGGCCGTGAATCCTCCCATAGGGCACGTCTACGGAGTGTGCTCACACCAAAACAGTGCGGTCAGTGACCACCGAGCAGCCCCATGAAGCCAAGAGCCAAGCACAGCCCTTCCTACACACCCTTGGGGACAACACATGCCTGGAGCTCCAGGTGCTGTGGCTCCTCCGGAGCCATGCTCCTCTATAGGTACAGACTGCAGCAGAATCGTTTCACAACCCTGGGTTGGAACCTCATCCAATCCAAGTGAGCCAGTGTATGCAGGCCTAGATTGGCAGTAATCAGACTGCAGCTGCAAAAGGCACTCTCCTGTCCTGCAGCATGCCAGTAACATCAGAAGAAGGTACAGGTTTCACTCTGAGGTAGCCTTTAATCTACACAGCATAAAGCAGGCCCCAGAATAGGAGCCTGAATAAACCTGGGGATGAAACTCAGCTTTTATCACAGTAGGCTCCTCCATATTCAGCAATTAGTTCTTCTCTGACAAACCAGGGCTGACTGATTCTCTGAGAAAACTGGGGCTGCCTCAGCACAAGGGTGATGGCCCAGGTTATAATTTAGAATGAACTTGCCATACCAGAGAAGATTAGCTGAAAGAAAAAGGATGGACTAAACGCAACTTGGAAAACAACCTAAAGGGAACTGGAATGTTCTCTCTCCTTGTAATCCAGCTTTTGGAGACCTCTCATCCCTCCTTCTCCACCCTACACAAACTCCCCTAAGGGCTATGATTACACGACCACACAGTGGTATGATTACCACTTCATACAGATTAACCCAACCCCTTATACAGTGTGACAGAAACTGCAAGCAATAAGATTGGATCATCTTAATGCTCTGCCTGTTACCATCACCCCCACCGTGCAAGTGCAAGCACAGCTAGCTCGCTTCTAGGACTGAATAAGCACACGCCTGCACAGCTTTGCACTGCACCGCATTAGCGCACTAGAACATAGAGGTGGTTCAGGTACTGCACTAAAGCACTGCAGGTGCCTGCCCACATGTACTAATAAACTCTGCACTAACAGATTAGGCACACAGGCGGCTTAGGAAATGAAGCATGAATCAAGCTTGATAATTGCTATTTGGTTTTTTTTTTTTTTGCCTTACCAATAAAACACAGTTTAAATCAGGAACACACCAAGTTCTACAGACACTAAACTAGACTCAGCTAATTGAGCTGCTCCTTGTGCTCATGTAGTGAGCAATGACAGACTCACAGTGCAAACAAAAGGTCATCAAGTCTGTATTTCACTGTGTTTGCTTTTCACTGGAGGGTTTACATTAAGGTGTGGGTTTGGAATTGGTACTAGAAATGCAGTACTCACCAGGACTGAGGCACGTAAAGAAACAGACAGCTATCCTTTCCACTAAGGAACTAACATATCGGCTACTCGCTCAAGAGAAATTATATGATACCAAAAGCAACGGCAGATTGACTGATCTTCAACTTTACTCCCCAGTCTCCCTTTTTTCCCCCCTACCATGTACTTTACATGTACCACTTTACAAGAAGTACATTCTGGAGTTGGACCTTCCCCTCAAAGTCTGCCTAGTGCTTCCTTGTTCAGCTGCAACTCTTGCCCTTTTTATCTCCCCCCACAGCTGAAAGAAAATGCTCTAGTTCAGATATTGATGTGGTGTCACATGGTTCCTTTTTAGCTAAAAGAAACAAGTACCAACCGATCACCTGCCCAGATCCCAACACAGAGCAGCTAAAGAAGCACTGAAATAACCCTTTTCCTCACCGCTGCCATGCCTGTAAGATGGACAAAACACTGAAGACACTCATCTCACCTGTATGCCCGGCCAGCTGCACCCATGAGTAGCGTTTCTTGAAGGGGCTGATGACAGGTAAGTTAACCATGGTTTTAATCGTATGCCATGCCTTTTTCTGGAATACAGAGAAAAGAAATATTAAATTGGACCAACTCTGAAATCCTGACACACCATAAATGTACCACGTAGCCTGAAATTCATGCACACTGAGTTGTCCTACCTCAGTTTGTTTGTAAAATTTGTAAACGTTCAAAGGTGGAACCATAAAACATACACTGCGATCATCATTGGAAAAACACACACACAAGAACAAGAGTAGAAACACTTCCTACTATCCGCAAGAAAACTGCCTGCAAGGCATAAAAAATGTGTCATGTTGTGTATGTCACAGGCCTGCTCTTACCCACTTCTGTCCCTCTCTCTGCCTGAGTCATGCAGGAGGCAGACAGCAAACTGGGAACCCACATAAGCCCACTAAAGTTTCTATGAGGCATGAACAATAGCAGTTTCATACTGTCAACACTATTTCTCCCCAGAGGCCTTCAGCATCACCATGATTAACCACTCTCACCAAGTCGGCAGGTGACTCTTACTGTGAGAGAGGCAGAGAAAGTCTCTCTAATTAAGCACCCAGCTCACTCAGCTCCCTGTAACACCAGCTGATGACGTGCTGTAGGATCTATTCCAGGTCATGTATTTTCCTGCTCCAATTTCTCCTTTCCAGTCCTGTTATATTTTAACATAGCTGGGCGCTGCTCATGCCACCTTGGCTGTCCCGCAGTGCAGCTGCGCGGATACCACTGCAGGCAGGCAGGGAAACACAACAGCTGCGGGGACAAAGTCGCCGAGCGCTCTGCCATGCTGCAGGGGAAGCAGAAAAAGCCCCAGTTTTGGAAGGGAAAGCCAGGTAAGTAAGAATCACTGCCCGTAATGACACTAGCATTCACACCACAGAGCAAGTGATCTCCGAGGGCTTTACAAATGCCTCTCTCTAGGACATGCTGCCCTGATGAACAAGCAGCAGCTGGTGACAGCCCACAGGAGTTTTGCACAGCAATTTAGCACTGAGGGTTTTTTTGCTGAGAGTACAGATAGCTGGTGGGTAGGCTGGATTTTTAGTAGCACTTATCAACTGCCTGAACGCACTCCCACCAAAAGCAATGGGAGCTACTGATTTCACCAAGAAGAGTTTAGAATATTGCTTTTACCTTTTTAAAAGTCCTACGTTCTCTAGCAGGGACACTGATTTAATGATTTAGATGTCAAGCCACCTAACAGCTACTGTCTTCTACAAAAAGATTTAAAGAAACAAAAAATACAAAAAGTAAAATTACAGGCAATGCTATGGAGGGAAAATGTAGTTTTCCAGACCACATACAAGCAGGGTCACCCTTATCCCACTCTCGGTCACTTCTAACAGGTTTCTTGTAAGGTTCGCTCGTGATGTTGGTCATTGTGTGATGGCAAAACCCTGCAGCTGTCCTAGGACACATCAAGGGACATGGCAACTCTAAAAGAAAGATCACTGGCTCCTTTAAGATTTGTTTCCACAAGAGCATTGTAAATTACGAGGCAAATTTAAACTGACATAACAATATAATCTCCATAAGGATATACTTATTGTAAAATAAGATTTTTTTTTTAATTATTCATTCAGACCGAAATGAAGTTACTCTTGGTCTGATATATGTCCCTTGCAGCAGTAACACTTCTGCAAATGTACAGCGCTAGCAACAAGAATCATCCAAAGAAAGCCCTGGACATTTCAGAATTGTGAAAACTCTGTTGCACTTATGCAACACAACAGCTGCTGCTGGCTCTAGCTAACCTTCCGTTAGAAAATACCTTCTGCAAACTTAAGTATGCCTGCAATCTACAGTGGATTTTGAATTACGTGTGATTTGCCTTAAAGTGTTCCAAATTGCTCCTGTGCAGTGCTAAACAGTGGCTGGGCTCTATCCCAAAGCTAGCTGCTTATTACTGGCACTGAAGAAAATTCTTGTACATCATTTGGACGCATCCATAGCCTCCTTTCTGGAGAGAAGTGCAATATAAATACTGCTACTGAAGCAGAAAATATACTAATGTATTTAGTATAGTTTATTTCCCAGATCTAGCTGACAGTAGAATCCCTTCAGTCTGCTCTCGTGTTTCCGCTGCAGATGGACAGGGCTAAGTTATTTACAGAACACTTGAAAGTAAATCTCACTGGGAGTTAAAACATTCCCTTTGAATGCAGCCTTAGAGGAAGTTTAAGTTTCTAAAGACTTCAGCTCAATATCCAGGGTATCACTGCTGCCCCCCCATCCCTTAACAGACGGGAGCAGCGCTCCACATCCTTCCCATAAAGATCCTATGCTCATCAATGTCCCTATCCCAGCATATCACATCCTGTCTGCCTCCCAACGCTTCGTCATACTGCTACACCCAAAAGCTAGGAGAAGCACAAGTTTTCAAGGAATGCACGTCAGCTGTCAGCGCAGCACCGCACGCTAGTGGCTTTCCCACCTCCACTCGCCCACTTTGCCTGAGGAAGCTGCAGTTTATATTTTTGCTGTGGGTGGGAAGGAGAGCCAATGGGCCAAGCTCAGCCCCAGCTCGAGCAGCTTTGGATGCTTGGGTTACAGCTATGACGGATGAATATATTTGAACTACTCACACAATAAACACTGTCAGCTTGTGACAATCGCTTCACAGCCGTTTTTCCTTAACTCAGGGAAAGCCCATGGCTCAAGATAGGAGGGAAAGGATTGCTGCTTTGGAC